CAGTATCTGGTGCTTCAGGGAAGATTTTTAGGCCCTTATGCACGTACATCTGACAGGGTATGCATGATATCTCGCTACTCTACTTATTTTCTTCTTCTTTCTCTATCTTGCTTATAAAGTTTTTCATACATTTATACCTGCCATAATTGATGCCAGGTTATTGGCATAATTGATTACACCTTCACTATTTTGTGTGATCCCCTGGGGATCCCCAGAAGATCCCCAAAAGACCACTAATTTTCAAAGTGTTTATCTTTATGTTTGTTTTGTATTTATCTTCCTGAGAAGTCAATGAAAACGCTGCAGCATTGTACTGGGGATACATCACGGCACTTCTAAGCTTTTCGACAGGAGGAAGGAATTTGAAGATTGTGATTTCAGTTAGGGATTCCGAAGATTTCGATATTCTGAGAGTTCACTTATTTCTACTATAAATATCTTTGGCAGTGCCGTAGTTATCCACAGTACAATTTTACAGCGTTTTCATTGAGTTTTCAGGTAGATGTCATTGAAATTGAGAGGTGATCCACTGGGGATCCTCAGGGGATCACACAAAAAGTAAATCATATCAATTATGCTAGTAACCTGATATCAATTAATCGCAGCTGTTAGGGTATGAGAACCTTCATAAGCAAGATAGAGAAGGAAGAAGAAAGATACCTAGAGTATTGAGATGACGCATCCCCTCTCAGATCCCCCTCCCTTCCCCAGCGGGGATGTACGTGCATACGAGCCTTGGTGCGATCTCCTCCCCAACGGGGATGTTAATTCACGCGGCCCTATGAGTTTGGATAGGAAACTATATACTCAACAGCTGCGAACTTCAATTCCAACTAAGGCTTGGACCGCTAAGCAACGCAATGCAACAATGAAGTATGAATCTCAGCTAACACACCTTTCTCATCTCAACACTTTTACTTTTTGATTGCTTTGTGTGCTTGGGAACTCGACGTGTTCGTCTTTTCCTACGCTGAAATACAGGTTTCCAGAAAAGCAAAATCATTGATGACCTTGAATTTTTTCATAGCATTTGAGGGGAACGGTCGCACGTCGGTGCTAATTTTCGCGACGCGATGCCGTTCGATGATACAAAAGCCAGCTCTTCTGACAGGGCGTTGCTTATGGCATCGAGTCATGTATCTGCCCTCATCCCCACCCTTGTAGTCTCAAGCCGTGCCACTTTAGCAGCGGAGAGTTTTGGATTGCAACATATGAGAGAGACGTACGCGGTGAAGCAGCCGTCGTGCGGCGTGAATCCTGACGCAAACCACATCTGATGAGATACTTGGGAATTATTTGGTTAGCTATTCCGGTGAATAGAAAGTGGAAAAATTTAGAATAACAAATTCTGAAATGCGGGATCAGGAGTCCAAGCTCCAGTGACCATACGATTGAGGGTCGTAATTTCACGAATAACGAAACGAGGAAAAGAACATCATATTACGCCCTTGTTGCTTTCCGCACTTGCATACAGAGCTCAAGATACACTCCGTTGGAGTCGAATCAGTGGACCACGCTTATAATGCGCTATGTTACATTAGGGTCCATTCCCAATTTCGTTCTCCTCAAATAAGCTCTCACGTCTTGCTGGTGACTGAAGCACTTATCTTTTACCAAAGTGTGCATCATTAGCGTTAAGGAGAACAGAAGCAGCTATCGGCTTTGCAGCTAGTGAGTATCATGTGGATAGCACGCAACTGGTAGGGCACGAATTATATGTGATATGTGAGGAAGGATTAGTCAGGGGAGACACGGCAAGGTCATCGGCGTGTTTATTCCTTTCACTCGTCCATCCAGCTAGCTACGGATCTCTTACGTTTGAACCTTGAATATATCATCGGCGACAAACGCAGAAACTTTGGACTTGATAAAAGAGTGTTATTAGTCTTGGCTGACAGCTGAAAAAAAGAAGAGAGGTGAAATAAAACAATCTAAACAATGTACTACAATGTCAGAATTAATAGATAGCCAAGAATGGATCATGCTGAGGCAATCTGAACATCCTGTCTCGCCAATGCTAATTGTGGCAAGCCTTCTGGCTTCCTCTCAGATAATCGCCTGGAGCAGGCGGCCATGCGATTCATTGGCGGGCAGGCACCGGGAAAATAGCTCGCTGATTTCTTGCGGTCCGCTTGCAGATATTTGGAAGAATTTTAACGAAATTTTAGATGAATTCTTGGAGAACAATCCCGGTTTCCTTATAGATTAGCTGCGGCACTTTCCGCGAAAATATGCAAAATTTTTGAGGGCCGCACGGTCCTTTGTGGAGGACTGCGCAGCCCCCAGATACTTTCTGCTGAGAGAAAGTACCTGAAACTTGAGTAATTAAACCAACGGTGACATCTCTGCTATACAGAGTCTTACTCAGACAATCGCCGGGGCAGGCGGGCACCGGAAAAATAGATTGCTGATTACTCGCACCCCGCTCGCGGATTTTTTGAAAAGCAATCAGGACTTTTCGGAAGACCGCTTGCTAAGTTCTTGATTCCTCAGAGATTCAGCAATATATCTGCAAAGATAAGAGCGAAAAAAATTCAACAGGCGGTCCCTCAAAAATCCGCTGACTCAGCAAGCGGTCTTCCGAAAAGTCTTAATTGCTTTCCAAAAAATCCGCGAGCGGGGTGCGAGAAATCAGCAATCTATTTTTCCGGTGCCCGCCTGCCCCCAGCGATTGTCTGAGTACCTGTGTTCGGCGTATGCCCGAAACTGCTTAAAAAAACTCCGAGCGCTCAATGAAAGTTTGACCAGCGCTCGATGAAAGAAATTATTTGCTGAGCGCTTGCAGAAAATGCTGTATTGCTGCCCACTGGCAGAATATGCGACCGTAAAGGAAGTGCCGCCAGCTGAAGGTTTGGCCACGCCCCAAAATTCTGTTGACCGCTGCAGAAAAGCGCAAGTTTGCGGACCGCCTGCCCCCTGCGATTATCTGAGCTACTGTGATGCCTCAATCAACGCCAATTTTGGGCGGACTGGGATTTGGCAATCTAAATGCTTCAAAAATTGAGCTCAACATGATTCCCTTAGGGTGCGAATGTGGTTGCAAGGTATCTGGTGTGTGTTAGAGCCGGTATTCAGGCATCTGCTCCGTATTTTTGGGGGACAACCTACATCGGCCTGCATCCTTTGCGCGCATCCGTCACGAGTATGCTGGGTTTCCCCCATCCAAGTGGTCCGCCACATGCGGTGGAGAGATTTAGCTTAGATTTGCATATCTCACCGCATGTGCACCATCTGCATTGCCATTTGCAGTGCGTCTTAGTTAGACCTTAAAAGCCAGTTCCCTATCTCAACTGGTGGCGCACGCGGCAGATCTCTCTGCTCCTTTGCGCTCTTGAGCAATAATCATCGCGGGGTGTGGCGCGCGACGTTGGTACCGAGTGTAAAATTCTTGTAATATGGTCGTGTAAATCGGCCTACACCCTTTCGCTGTGACAATATTCAATGCAGAAAGTAAGCATGCGTTAACTTAGGCCCGCAGTAAAGCTAATTCAGTTCAAGTGAACTGAACTGAGGCCCCCATCCGAAATTCCTTGAAGGCAGCGTCCATGCAAATCTAGACATATGGGAATCTTACGTCGACAGTAACTTTGAGACCCTAATTAAGACAGTGCGCAATTGGTATCTTAACACGTTTCGGTACGGTGCTGCACATGGTGCAGCACGCTGCTGTGAAGGATCTTTCTGTCGTTTGCGGGAGGTTTCCTTTTAGTCCGAAGTTGTTCAGTCAAAGGTCTAAGCTCCTACTTTTCAAATGACTCTGTAGAGCTGTGCCGCGCATATTTGTTTAGGAGATATGAGGACAAATCGAACATCAGTTGACGAAGTGCGGCAACGCGAACGACGCGTGCGACGTCGCAACTTTCCTTTGCTTCGATTTCAAAGGGAAAAACCCCAGTATCAATAATGATGTGCACCGTGTACAACATAGATTTGAATACTATTTAAAACTGAGTTCTTACTCCTATCTTTCAAGAAAGCGCAAAAAGTCCCTGTCAGGCGAAAGAATTCAAACACTTCGAATTCACTCAAAACTTTGGGGTATGGAGTTTACCTGACATGCTGATTACAGATGTGACCCACAAGCTACGAAATAAGGTCCCTTTGTAGGCTAACGGCTGAAAGTACACTCTTTTTCGCCGCGCGCGATTTCGCGGTCCGATTTTAAATTGTGTTCTAGCGGCTGAGATATTCGCTTCCAAACTGGACCCCAAGATTGTATTTTGCATGGATCTGTGGCGCTACCCATCAGTTTCGCGTGGGTTCTCGCACGAAAGCATGCAAAAACGATGCAAGTCGTCCGATAATACGATCCTGGGGCCCAGTTTGGAAGCGTATATCTCAGCCGTTAGTGAGTTGCGCTGCCGTTTGGGGTATGCCTTAGTCAGGGCCCAAAATTACTTTCCACGCAAAATTCCCATAGGTCCAGATTTGTCTGGACACTGCCTTTGAGTGATGATGAACCACTCCCTTCCCATGTTGTAAGAGTGCAAAATGAGGTCTAGGTTGACCCTCCATCTACCTGACAAGGTCGTTTACCTTACTTAATTTGTTCACTTTAATTAGAAGACGAATGATTTGAATATTGTGTGATAATACGCAGAGAAACTGTCCGTAAGTTACTCCTTAGTAACAATACACGTCACTTCAACGTGTCAAAGGAATGCTAAGTGAGGAACCACAGTGCAGGCTGACGATACTTAACAAGATCTAACAAGCGGGCCACACCTTCGCCGCTCATACCAGTCACATAGATGTGAAAGCTTGACGGCGCGTTTTGACTCGTATACTTGCATGGACATGGCGTTCGCAATCATATCATCGTGGATCATTGGCATCATCATCAATGGCTCGACTGAGGGCAAGCTGACTCGTCGAAGCCTCAACGAAATTTTGTTCAGTTGAGATCTAATGAGGCAGCTTTACTCAAGTTACGAATGACTCGATGATAGATCATAGTAGCAATTTTTGCATCTCAATTATGTACTAAAGAAATCAACAACCTGTTCACGTCTTTTTCTTCTTTGTCGTAATACCCTTATCCTAAGGGCGAAGCATATGAGTAAAATGAGGGTTATATTGAAAAGGAACACCAGTCCCATTATCAAGAAAGCCGTGTTATTTGGCAAAAAGAAAAAGGATAAATTTTTGGAAGCAGGTCGTAGCATTCGTCTGCAAGTTGTAATTACTGACTAAAGCAAAAGATGCTATCATTAACTCACGCAGTTGTGCCTGCTCTTTGCTCAGTAGTAGAAGTAGATAAGTGGTTGTCCTCGATTACCGATTTTGTAGAGACTTCATTCATGAATGTTGCTACTCAAGCCAGCGCTGTCTTTGTTTACATGACTAAGAAGTAATGCTACTTGCTCTTCCCTTCATTTTCATTGTACCAGTATTATTTTTGGTCGTGTGTACTGATTTGAGTTTCACACAGACATCGCGCTGTTAATCTTCGAGTTTCGCCTAAGGCCCCGGTCAGACTTCACGCGACTTAATCATCGCGATCTAATCCTCAAGATTTCCATTCATTTTCATTTCACATTCAAAAATTTCGGGCTGGAAAAGTACCACAACCGAATGCAAGTTGATCGGCATGGAATGATGTTGTAACAGTTCTCGTCGTGATTCAATCGCCGTGATTTCCATCATTTCCATTTTACATTCAAAAATTTCGGGCTGGATAAGTATCACAACCGGATGCAAGTTGATCGGCATGGAATGATGTTGTAACAGTTGTCTCGTCGCGATTCAGTCGCGACGATCAAATCGCGTGAAGTCTGCCCAAGGCCTAAGGCCCCGCACAGACTTCACGCGACTTGATCGCCGCGATCTAATCGCCAAGATTTCCATTCATTTTCATTTCACATTCAAAAATTTCGGGCTGGAAAAGTACCACAACCGAATGCAAGTTGATCGGCATGGAATGATGTTGTAACAGTTCTCGTCGTGATTCAATCGCCGTGATTTCCATCATTTCCATTTTACATTCAAAAATTTCGGGCTGGATAAGTATCACAACCGGATGCAAGTTGATCGGCATGGAATGATGTTGTAACAGTTGTCTCGTCGCGATTCAGTCGCGACGATCAAATCGCGTGAAGTCTGCCCAAGGCCTAAGGCCCCGCACAGACTTCACGCGACTTGATCGCCGCGATCTAATCGCCAAGATTTCCATTTATTCTCATTTCACATTCAAAAATTTCGGGCTGGAAAAGTACCACAACCGAATGCAAGTTGATCGGCATGGAATGATGTTGTAACAGTTCTCGTCGCGATTCAATCGCCGTGATTTCCATCATTTCCATTTTACATTCAAAAATTTCGGGCTGGAAAAGTATCACAACCGAATGCAAGTTGATTGGCATGAAATGATGTTGTAACAGTTGTCTTGTCGCGATTCAGTCGCGACGATCAAATCGCGTGAAGTCTGCCCGGGGCCTAATGCGTCAGCATCTTGTGAGTAATGAACGTATGAATGATACGCGACTCTTACACTTACAATATAATTAGTCAGATTACAGTGGAAATGGGACAAATTTTAAATTAACAGGTTGATGCAAAATTGAGCACGCTCTTCATTATTGCGGCAGAAGAGATTCAAAATTGTAAGAAGCATATCATCGGTAAAGCGAAGCAAGGTGCAAAAGACGACATTCTAAATCGCAACAGGTCCAATCTACGTGAAGTTTTGAAGAACTAAGAATTTTTGCGCCAAAGAATGATTTTTGTTTAGAAAATCTCTCAAACTTGGTCACGCATGCACTATCCACATTAGACATTCATATGTTTGCCATATTCTTTTCTTGGTTGAAAATTAAAAACAAGAATGAGTTAAACATAAATCACCCTTTTCAGACTTTTGTTAAACTTCATATTTCTTAACTACTAGCGCTTGAATAATTCTGGAAATTATTACAACTCTAATTTTTGTAGTACAGAATCAATTATGTCAGGGCAGTCCAGTATTGCATTTACTGAAGTATGCCAATTTTCACTTTCTCAACTTCTTGCCGTGGAAAAATAGAGGGTGACATATGATTAGCAGATGCAACACATGAGTTTATTAGGCAAGTTGGAAGTTTGTGGAATTTTTGGACAGAAATGAATTCCGATTCTCAAATGAATTCCAATTCTTGATCCAAAATTCTTTGCATATTTCTTGTAAACTTTCCATGCATCGAAGTTTATGCGTTCATATCCTCACGTTTATATCCTCAAGTCCATATCCTCTCAATCATCAAGGAACTGAAAGTACTCTTCCAAGGGTATGCTTTTAAGGTTAAAAACTTTTACTATAATTGTACAGACACAAAAAGCTTGTTCGACTTGTTCAAGCCGCGCAGGGACTGTGAGAAAAAGAAACGAAATTGTTCCAGAAAATTAGGCGAATATCTCTATACAGACGTATACCGTCTGTCCTAGTAGGGATCAGGCTCAACCGTTGGTTTGAAGGCAGAGTCCGAACAAGGTGGCGGTTTTGGGATTTCAGTGCCACGCGAAAGTGGACCCCCCTAGGACACGCCACTGCGCAATTGCGAGGCCATAACTTTTGAAACAACCAAGAAATATAGTTAAAAAGCTGCGATATCAACAAACTGAGCGGGGCTTTCCACCTGTTTGAATTCCTGCTCTGCGACAGAGTACGCCTGCTGCCACCGTTAAAGTTGTAGGGTCTCGCAGCGACTCTGGTCTCAGTTTTGGCAGAAACCTCTTATTTCAAATTGCAAGGCCTTGAAAACGCATGTCCTCGCCGGTTTCGCGCTTTTTAATGTGGATTTTCGATTCAGCATTGCAAATAACCCAGGAAAGTGTATTTTCTAGAAAGCGAGTTTCTGATGAGCACTGCCTCCAAATTCGCGAGCTCGCAGCGCCAGGGGTTTGCGTTGCATATGCAATAGGAGAGAGCGTAAATGAAGAGAGAGCAAACAAGAAAGATGTAGGCGTGACGCAAAACCTCGCGGACTCCCTTCATGCCAATGGCCTGGTTGAGATTGAGACAGATACGTTGTTGTGTTACTATCTATCAAAACGAGAAGATACAAAGCGTAGAAAATTGAGCTGTTCGATAACCCTTGCAACACCCTAGCAGCATTTTGTGTGCAATCTTGCAGGCATCGTTGGCACACCCCAGTAAAGAGAAGTAATCCGTTTGTAGATATTGTTCATTTAAGCCGTAACAAGTTTTTAAAGGAACACCTTATTTACTGCCCAACGTTTCGACTAAATGCCGTCTTCAGGGACCTGAAAGCGAGTCAATCACTTATAAACCAAACGATAATCGGTCGTTTTACAGCAGATGGATGCGCAGATGTGGAATGCAGAATTATCGGGCATCGGGCGTCAGGCGGCCAGGGTCTCATAGGCAATGTTCATCTCAGACACTCGCGGTTGACTCGCGCAGGGCAAAACGATGTGTAGCCATTGAATGCGTGGGCGACTCGCGAAATCGGTGTCGCGGCAAAATCAGGACACCTGATTTTGTGTCGCGGCAAAAGTGCGCGGCAAAATCTGGGCAAAATGGGGAGACCTGCGCGAGACACCAAAATGTCGCGATCGCGTTCAGAGCACGCGGCCTACGCCCTTACTGACAGCTTTTTGCGTCCTCTAAGCCCTCTCTTACGCCTTCCTTTTGACTTACCTTGAGTCCTTGGTCACGTTGGGTCCCGTTTCCCACGCTTGTTTTTTTTCTGCTGATAAACCCAGTCTTACGTCATAAAATTTATTAGCAAATACCACATGATCTTCTCGAGTAGCGTTTACAATAACATCGAAATGAGACAGGAATCAAAGCACCGCAATCACGACACAAGGTTACGAAAGAACTACGGTTAAGAATGACAACAGCATTAATTTTTTACGACTACTTCATCTTCATCTTCAACGTTTTCCGTCTTCTGGATCGTTACGCCTTCTTTGGTAACACTGCTGCCTTCGACCATGACGCGCTTTTTCTGAAAATAAAAAATTATTGTTACTAGGATCGTATAAAACAAACGAATTACCTTTGATGGAAGGAGCCTGGACCTATCAGGGTCAAAATGATACCTCCCGATGTCTTCCCTGCAAAAATATAGTTCAGAAGTATCGCTTTCCTTATGAGAAAACTCACAAAGCTCTCCCATTTGCTATCCTCGCCTTACCGCTCCATACTACTCTTTCCTCTGAGAGGATGTCGAATAATTTTTCGCAAGCGTCGTCATTTTCGGCTAAGTCCAACCACCACCTAAATTCTAGTGCACATGAAGGTCTTTCGAGAAAATACATACTTATTTGGATTCCGTTTGCTCATCTGGCGTCCGCAGAAGTTGGTCGCGGTGTAGGCCAAGGGCGTCAAGGATGAAACCTAAATCAGTTATTGAAAGTAATGTACTCAAACACACATTGACCCACTTATTAAGAAATCGACTAATCCTTCCGGGAGGTCCTTAAGATGGTCAAATTTCTCCTTCTTCCCGCTCTGTCTACAGGCGTACTGTTGAATTTCCGTAGGTGGTTCGCAGGCCTAAGCGGTGATTACAAGACGACCTTATCATCTTCATCTATCTGTCGCTTACATTTAGAAAGAAGTGGCGCAAAAAGTCGAGCACCAAAAGGAAATGATCATGCTTGTGCGCGCGTTTTGGGTCTCTGCCACTTTTCCATGACTTCAACCATATTGAACTCCTGAAAACAATGATTTTTCCTCGTTGACTGAGAATAGTGGCTAAAGACCTTGAAGGGTGGTGCATGGACCGAACTTTCTAGCTAGCTACCCCACTACCACCTGCGGCGAAAACATAATTGCAAATGATGAATAAGCTTCCCATCAAGTATCCATGTTGATTGTACCTGTTTTACATGTTTTTGATCCAACTGATCTACCAACATTGCCCAATTCAGAACTTTGCACGATTTTTCCATTATCTCCAAGATTTGATGTAATTAAGTTGCAATGAGGGTTTCCTTGCCTTAGGGACCTTCTAATATAACCTTAAACAACTTGCAAAGATTGTGGCTGCAAAAGTAGTCCGAACTCTTTACCACTTGCTCCATAGTCTCCGCAGGTATCCACTCGACCACCCGTCCACATCCGCATGCCCTTGGCGCCGCAAGCACAATGCGAGCCTTAGCCGCCTCTTGGGTAAACCATCGCTCATAACTTTGCCCAGAAAATCATTGAGCAGCTAAGGGTCACGAATTTGGCATTAGGACCCCAAGAGCAGCAGAATGATATGCATCATGTGTGGAAACCCCTCTTCGATGGATGATCCTTCCCTTGTAAGTAAATTCCGAATTCCGGCTAAGCCATCTGTCAGAAATGATGACGTGCGGGATGAACAATGTGCATAAACTCTTTCATCTTCCGAATTGAGTACAAATCACTGAAAAAAAAGGCGAGAGTCAAATGAGTGATTTTTCTAAACTCGTGAGATGCGGTACAATAAATGTGAGCTATGCCAGGTAAATTTTGAACTGCAATTGTGTACTCTAAATAATACGGAACTGGAACCGGCAATATTGATGCCAGTTTTTGCACAGAGTTGAACCGTAGATGACATTCTTCATGTGATGAAAAATCTGCTTTAAGAAGTTCAGAAAAAGCATTACAAGCAACCGCAGTTCAAAAATCGCATAACCTCCAAAATTTCGAAAATGACTGTCTTGTAAGCTCATACCAATACCATTTTAAGAAATGAGCAACCGCAAAAGAAGAACATTACTTTCTCAGTTTCATAAATAAAAACATGCCTTCTCATTCAGCTCTTGCACGGCCGGAAGATCACTATCCACTTGTGAATCGACATTCTCGCGGCTTTCATCATTGTCATTAACATTCTCTTCTTCCTCTTCTATAAAATCCTGGAATGAGCTTATATCATAGGTGAATCATGGTAATCATAATGCGGAAACTCTTCCGACCTCCTCAAGAACAGGATTATGCTTATTATGGCGTTCCCTTCTTGGCTTCGAAGATCGCAACGCAAAATCGTCATCCCATTCGTTTTCGTAAAAGCGCTTGAAAACCAAAATAGTACACGTTAGCATAAATACTCAAAGTCCAGTAATCAGCTAAAGTAAGCAAGCAAAACAATCTAAGAATGAAATATAACTTCTAGAAAGAGAGAAAAAGGGTTCACCTTTACTTCCGGATGATGATCAACGCAGATAATGGCCGGGTGTGATCAGAAGGACGCGTTCGAAATGAGCGTCTCAAGCTGATTCTCTTTGGTCTAAGCCTGGTTTTTATCGGCATGGAACGTCTCTGGAAAGACATGCTTTGCTAAGTATAGATTCATCTAAGAAAAAAAACAAATGCAACAAATGCAGGGAAGAATTGATCAATACGTCGACGTATAGGTGCGTTATTTCGAAACCTCCTCGCCCGTCGCGACAAAATCGCACCAAAATCCGGACGAAACTAAAATGATGACTCGCGCCGGTCCACCGGATTTTGCCGCGAACGTCCATTTTGTGGGCGGATCCCCTGCGCGAGTCAACCGCGAGTGTCTGAGATGTAACTGCCAACGCACTAGACCTACTCAGCTTAGGATCATCCTTCGCGCCTACACAAGGTCAACTCATTGGTATGCCGCAAGGTTCTAGGGTCCTTGCAGCGCTTTAGAGACCAGTTGTGCGCAAAAATCAGGCACGATAAAATTGCAGCCTCCCTTTGTCCTATGTAAAAGGGTACTCCCTCCTATTTCTTTCCAATCATCCTTTTACAAAGTGACTAATCTTTGTCATGAAGCGGATGTAAATTTCGCATACGTCGGCAGGAATTTTGAATGTTCTTCTTAACAAATATCGTGGTATGAAACAGTCTAATCTAACATATGCGCAAAGGCAGGGTTTCAAAGAGCTGCGTGAATTGACTTCTAACGGCACTATTCGTCTCACTGTTAGTGACAAAGGAGGAGAGTTCCTTATTATGCCGCAGACGCTCGATCGCAACGTAGCCGAACTTCATCTGTCTGATGCTACAGTTTATCGTCGTTCAACCGAAAAAGAATTCCTTACAAGGCAAGCACTTAATCACGTCTGGATGATGGTCGAAAAACAAGCGGGACTAAACGAAAAGTTTCTCAGTAGGAAAATTGCAAATCCGGCTTGTCCTGTCTTTTATGGCCGCGTAAAAAGACATAAACTCGCCTTAACTGATCCACGAGATGTGACTTCTGTGTCTTGCAAAACTCGGCCAATTATCAGGCTGTATAGATGGGCCGACCGACAGAATCTTGTTGTTCCTTAGCAAGATCGTTGGTCAACTCTTATGTAAGATCCCCGCCCATTTACCGAACACAAGCCGCTTCCTTGATCAACTACGCAAAACGCATTTTGACCAGAATTGCGTAATGGAGTCATTTGATGTCACGTCATTATACACTAATGTGTCCAATAATGACGCCTTGCAAGCGCTCTCTGAGCTTCTCGATTCACATATTATCAATATAGAGCAGGGTCAAGCAAGGGGTGTGGCACACGATCGCTGATTACGACCCCCCCCCCCTGACTGCTGTTCTGATAAGACCCCCCCCCCTAAACTATACACTTAAGATAGCATTACCTGAAGGCCCTGTCAAACATAATGGGCAACACATCCATAATTAGCATGTCAAATAACCTCTGTAGACAAAGTGTGAGCGAATTCTGAAGATTCAAGATACCTACCTAAGTGAGATGGTCAAATTCCAACATGGTTAACTTTGTTTCAAGGTGAATTATCTATCCGTTTTTGCACTCAAGACAAGCACTACTCCTTCTTTGTCCACCTCAGGAATCCCGCTTCAGAAGACATCCAAACTGTGGAATTAGAAGCCAACCAAAATCTCGTTTTTCCCATTTTTCGCTTTTGATCGCTGTGCTTTCACCAAATATTACTCACAGCTAAGAAGACGAATCAGGCTCCGAACAGTCCTATGGAATCTACAAGGTTTAGGCTATCGATTCATATAAATATTGTTCGCTAAAATTGTTTTTTGATATAGTTAATGGGGTGCGGTACACCCCCTTGAAACCTACAGCGGCCGCAGCGGCAGAATATTATATTGTCACTACTATCAGATTACCCAACTACGACCCCCTCCCCTTTGACTCCTCAATACGATCCCCCAGGTATGGCGTGCCGCACCCCACGCTTGACCCTGATATGGAGACATAAGGGCTCAGTAAAGCGCGCATCATCTCCTTGGTCAAGGAATGCCTGGCATGCAACGTCTTCAAATGCTCAGACAATCGCTGGGGGCAGGCGGGCACCGGAAAATTAGATTGCTGATTTCACGCACCCCGCTCGCGGATTTTTTGCAAAGCAATCAGGACTTTTCGGAAGACCGCTTGCTGAGTCAGCGGATTTTTGAGAGGCCGCCTGTTGAATTTTTGTTCGCTCTTATCTTTTGCAGATATATTGCTGAATCTCTGAGGAATCGAGAATTCAGCAAGCGGTCTTCCGAAAAGTCCTGATTGCTTTCCAAAAAATCCGCGAGCGGGGTGCGAGAAATCAGCAATCTATTTTTCCGGTGCCCGCCTGCCCCCGGCGATTATCTGAGTGGTCGGGACAATACTATGCACAGCTAAGAGGACTAGCGATGGGACAAAGACTAGCGCCCGCGCTCGTTATTTGCTTTGAGCAAAATAGAGGAGCCGGTATCATCGCGATGTCCCTGATGTACTCCCGGTACATCGATGATTGTTACATTGCTATTGCAACTCAATTCAAAATGGATGAGTGCTTTAGAATTCTCAATGAACAATCGCAGCACATCAGCATGACAAGACAGACCACACGATGGCTGGCTACCATATCTGAATACACAGGTGATGTTGGAAAATGGAGCAGTACACGTCAAATGGTATCGAAAGGAGAGTTCTAAGAATATAATTCTGCATTCCACAACTGCGCATCCATCTGCTGTAAAATGAGCGATTATTCGCAAAATGTTTAAAACAGCGAGCAGAGTTTGCAGCGGTGAAGTTGAGAGACTGGAATCAACGAAATTGGCATACGAGATAGCTGTAAAGAATGGTTACCAACTGCAGTCCAGATCTCGCAAAAGAACTTGCGCTCACGGTAGCAGTCAGATTCGATCACGTATATCACTATGCTTACCGTTCGTGTCCGATAGAGTAAGCAACGCTTTCAAGCGATGTCTAATACAAGCGCAATTGGCGGATGATGTTGTTCTAGTGAACATACCCCAAGACAACATCAAAAAGCAACTGGTCCGCAACAAGTTGTATGACAGGCAATGCATGATGCAAAATTGCGTTGTTTGCACAGATGAGAGATTGGGAGACTGTTCGAAATGCGGAGTGATTTACCAGTTAGAGTGTAAGATATGCCATGCCATTTATATAGGCGGGACTGGTCGACCGCTTCATGTACGTGTCAGCGAACATCTGGCTAGTAAGAGAAGGCAGAGTCCGGTAAGCCCTTTCGGAAAGCACAGGAAAGAGGACCATGGAGGAGATGATTTTGAAGTCCAATGTTGCATTTTGGCCGTCGAAGAACATACTGCTGCTTGAAAAGCCTTAGAAGCTTCCTTTATACTTGCTCGTAATCCCAAAATGAACAGCAAGGACGAACATTTGTCTATCATTAGTGATCTGAAGCCGTTTTTACCATTTTGCGAGCTGTGAGTAGTCTACACTATCCAAGCGTGTCGTACTTATTCAGACCGCTCATTTTGTCATCATCTGCTGTGAGCGACCATGAGAGAGAGAGCCAACACCCTTACGCTCCTCACCAGGAACACTTGGTAAGCTGTTCAACTTGAGAACTTATCTGCGTTACAATAGATGAGTCAAGTATACGGTTTGGAGGAAATGTCTGGTGGTCTAGATCGTTTGGTTTATGAGTGATTGACTCGCTTTCAGGCCCCTGAAGACGGCATTTAGCCGAAACGTTGGGAGTAAAAAAGTATTCCTTTAAAAACTTGTTACGGCTCAAAGAAAATGAACAATATCTACAAAACATGCCAAGATTTTACAAAAAGGAGACATATAATCCATTTGTAACAAGAGGCACAAGTCAGAAAATTTATTTGGGTTTTTGATCCAAATGGACAAACATATTGTCTTTAAGTAAGGCTGATAACTGAACAAACATCAAAACTTTGTCTTTGGACGCGTTTCGATCCAATTTTTAAGAAGTGGATGACTGTGTATTCTCTCGGAATGTGCTTTGATCTGCAATTTCAAATCATTTGTGGACTGTATACGTTGAGTGTGGAACATTTTTGATGGGCAACACAGACTCTAGCCTGGTAAGAGCGCAATGTTATACAACATTCAGCAAAAATTGAGTATTCTTACAATTTATTCGCCGATCTTTGAGGTGATTTTTATCAGTAGTAGTCCTGTACTTTTTTCCGCGGAAGGAGGGACGGCTCTCCTTCTCGGAATATTGTTTGGAATGTTTCCCGAAATTTTTGCGGAACGCCTTTTCCAATGGGAAAACTTTCTTAAGTGGATGGAATTGGTAACTTGCTGTAAGACACTGCTCTGTGGAATTTTGAGAAGAAATTGGCTAGATAGTGCGGGTGTACGCATATTTTTTCAAGCATATAATCTTCATCTTCTGGATAACTAACTAAAAGAAAAACTCTTAAGCATTGCAAACTTATCTCGAAATGAGAATTGCTTGCAAATGAGATTCTGTAAGGTAGATTGCAGGCTGGTAGCTCAATTTGTGTCTAATCTTACAAGGGAAGAAAAGTGCGTCGAAGTAGCCATTCTGCACGAGATTTATACTGACTTGAAGAGTCAGTATACATCTCGCAAATCTCAACACAACGCTAATTTCAAATACACCTTTCTTACCTGCTGCGGGTTTCTAAGCAAGGAGTTTTGAAGGATTTATAGGCAAAAATTTGAACGCATTTTTTAAAATTATCCTTGCATTCTCCCGTCATGCGGGGTCTGCCGCTTTTGTAAATCTTGTCCATTCTTCTCGATTCAAGGCCCGCTCTTCACTTATACCAAGCGCTCTCATATCTGCTTTGACTTTATCCAGCCATCTCATCATAGGTGTTTCTCTTGGTCTCTTCCCTGGCAATTTCACTGACATGCCCAATCTCGTAATGTGGTTTTCTTTATCTCGCGTGTCCAAACCATGTAGACGTCTTTCTTGCATCTTCTTAACAATGGGTGTCACTTTCATTACGCTTCGTATAGTGTCATTCGGGACATGGTCTAGCATCGTCACTCCTGTGGTCCATCTCAGCATCCGTGTTTCCATTACACTGATCTTCCTCTCTTCGTCACGTGTACATGGCCAGCATTGGCCCGTAGCAAACCCCCCATCAGGGCATCTCTCTCGACGCGAACCGGCGTTGATCTCATCACGCCTCAGTCTAGCATCCGGCGAGCCATTGATCTGGATGCGGATCGCTTCCGAGACATTACAATCAAGTGCCTTCTTGAATAAGGAACCACTTGAGTTGGTTTGGTCAAACGGGTAAGCGATTGGAATTACACGCGCGCGGCCGTGGTTCGAGTCCGACTAGCGACACACGTTTTGATGCATCGCTGGGCAACCTTTGATAGCAGCCACTACGCAATCGATGATGACCGCTATCAAGGATTTCGCCTAGCAAATGCATGGATAAAACAAAAACACAATTTGTGGCGGAAATTTTATGAAAAAACGAAATGATTGCAGCGTGAATTTAATGAAATGAATAAATGAGTTCTTGTATTGGACAGCCCCCACAATGGTCGGCCGCCTCATCGTGGCGTGGGGGTGACACTGGGTGTCGAGCTGCGATGCACAGCCGAGTGTATACTCTGGCAGAGCCTCCCAAGCTGTGAAGGAGTTCGACGTTTCCGGTCTCGGCCGGATGCCTAGCTAAGTGCCGGCCAGGCCAGATCCACCGCCGTCTGGTTTTCAGGTCGCTAGGCGGTTCTCCCCGCTCCAAGCCCGGAGTCAGCGATTGCCCCGTGGAAATCAAGAGTTGGCCTAGTAAGTCTGCTCTTGTAGGGGAAAAAATTTTATTACTCTACCAGTTAGAAGAATAGAAAGAAACCCTGCACATCGAATCCCGCCTACGGCGCCGGGTGGTAGCAAGACTGATGTCAGGGTCTTCAGGGCGCCTTTTGGATTGAACAAAAACGACACGTCTGCCCGGACGACACGCCACGGAGACTGCCTCATGCTCTGCACCTACAACGCCAGGACAGTCTCCACAAACGCCGACCTCCACGCTCTTCTCGACGCTGCAAAGCACATCAAGTACCACATCATCGCTCTGCAGGAAACGAAGTCCAGGAAGAAGGACGTGCGACAGATGAATGATGGGACGCTCATCATTCGTGGTGAGAAGGTTGCATCACGAAACATGGGAGTTGGCTTTGTCGTCCACCCATCTATCGTCCATCTTGTCGATTCGCACGAGATCCTATCACCCCGACTAGCCATCCTACGACTACGCCCTCCACGTCAGAAGACCATCAGCATCATCAACTGCTACTCTCCGACATCAGCAGCTGACGACTCAGAACTAGATGCTTTCTACGAAGACGTGGAGGAGGTCGTCCGCAACGAAAAGTCCTTTTACAAGCATGTTGTGGGCGACTTCAATGCGAAAATCGGGATGCCACTAGAAAAGGAATGTAGGATCGGGAAGTTTGGATATGGGCTCCGGAACGAAAACGGCAACCGTCTCGCTGGGCTTCTCTCCGCCGCACGACTCTTCCATGGAAACTCCATCTTCATGAAGAATGAACATCGCCGGTGGACATGGGAATCGCCCAACGAAACGACTCACGCGGAGATCGACCACATTCTCGCCAACCGAAGGTGGAGCTTGCTCGATGTCTCAGTAGTTCCATCCTTCTGCAGTGGCCCCGATCACCGCTTCCTTCGAGCGAAGATACGACTCAGCCGAAGGCTGGAAAAGAAAGTCTGTCACAGTACCGCGAGAAGGAAGGAAGTCGTTTATGACGGTAACAGGCTGGAGGAGCTCATATCAAGATGTGACTGGCCCATCGAGGAGGACCCAACGTATGACTACGACCGGCTTCTGAAAGGATTGCGAGCGTGCGGAGAATGTGCCTCAGTGACTTCTGAGAAGAACTTGGAACGTATTTTGAAGACCACCAAGGAATTGCTCGAAAGAAGAAGATTTCTGAGGCAGGATCCGAATGCAACCCATCTCGAGCAGACCAGACATGCATCACCAGAGTGATAGCCAACGCCAGTTGCAGAACAGCTATGCAGGAGGATCTCAGGAAGTACAGGCAAGCCAAGATACTGGAAGCAGCCGAAGGAAGACGAAGTCTTAAGAAATGCCGAAGGGACCTCTGTGAATATCACGTACCGCTGGCTGCACTATTGAACGAAGACGGGACTCCGACTTCTTCCCGATACAAGATGGAATCTATCGCGAAGAACTTCTATACCAACCTCTTCCGCTCATCAACACCCGTGCCGATGTCCGTTGTTCCCACTGGAGAAGTACCACCACGAATTCTACCTGCTGAAGTGCGCACGGCGATTCAGACCATGAAGACATCCACGGCTGCAGGACCAGACCATCTTTCCGTCGAATTTCTGCGAGCCGGAGGACAACGTCTACACGAGATTCTCGCGTCGCACTTGACATCTTACCTTCAGAAGGAGAGGATTCCCGACCAGTGGAGAACGTCAAGAACCGTCCTTCTTTTTAAGAAGGGTGAACGGGAAGATCTTCGAGATTACCGTCCAATATGCCTGCTGAGTGTGCTGTACAAGCTCTTCACAAAGCTTATCCTCGCACGCATATCTAGGACAGGATGAAGCCCAACCCCAAGAACAAGCTGGATTCCGCAAAGGATTCAGCTGCATGGACCACATCCAGACGGTTTCGAGGGTCATAGAAGTCTGCCGGGAGTACCGACTGCCTCTCGTCCTAACCTTCGTCGACTACGAGAAAGCCTTTGACAGCGTCGAAACCAATGCCATCCTGTCTGCGCTAGTCGATCAAGGAGTGGAACCAGCTTACGTGAGGACACTAGCCGACTGCTACAAGGACTGTACAACAACGATGCAGCTATTCCATCGCCCCCTAACCATTCCAATTGGGAAGGGGGTTCGACAAGGCGACACTATTTCGCCGAAGCTGTTCACCGCGGCCTTGCAGGGGGTGATGAAGTCACTAGACTGGGAAGAGAGAGGCATACGAGTTGATGGGAGATTCCTATCCAACCTTCGATTTGCGGATGACATCGTCCTTTTCTCGAGCAGTATCACTGAAGCAGAGGCGATGCTGAAGGAACTAAACGAAGTAGGGAAGAAGATCGGACTGCGAATAAATCGGAAGAAGACTCAGTTTATGAAGAACTCCCTTTGCGAAGATGCAGAAATGGAATTGGAAGGCACCCCTATCATGGAGACGTCTTCATACGTGTATCTCGGACGTTCGATGAACATGGAGAACACTTGAGGGAAGAACTTAACAGGAGAAGAAGAGCAGCCTGGGCCGCCTTCGGGCCTCTGAAGGAAGCCACCGACCAACTCACGGACCCGGAGCTCCGTGCCCACCTGTTCGACTCAACCGTTCTCCCAGCGCTCTGCTACGCAGCTGAGACTTGGGCTGACACCGTAGCCACGTCGAAAGCTTTAAAGGCAGCGTACACCCAAAACAAATGCAACAGATGTTGCAACAGCAACTGCAACTGCAATTGCAGCTTACGCTGTTATGGATTCGTCCGGAGGAGGCGGAGCGAAAGAAAAGGGGCGGCTTGAAAGAAAATTGAGGGGGGTTTTCTCCGCTCAGAAGCAACATTGGGAGACCGGACCAACGCAGTTGGTCTTCTTCTGGGCCCATTATATACACGGTGTAGAAAGATCTAGGAAGTTCGGTAACTCAAATTTTGGGTGTACGCTGCCTTTAAGGACCACCCATAGAGCGCTCGAGCGCAATCTTCTGAAGATGACCCGACACAAGCAACATCTAGTCGGACTTCGCAGCACGGATATGAGAAGAATGTCCCGTCTTCGTGACCCAGCGGAATACGTTGCGAAAGCGAAACACCGATGGGTCACATCATGAGAAGAACGGACGATAGATGGGCACTAAGAACATCTGAGTGGATTCCTCGCGAAGCCAAACGTCCTCCAGGAAGACCACCGACGAGATGGGCAGACGTGTTCGTGGAACGGATGGACCAGCTGAGAAATCAGCTGGATACGATTCTCGCCCCTGGAA